TAGCTCTTATATCTTCTGAGATCTCGGCGTTCATACGGACGGACGGACGGACGGACAGACGGACGGACGGACGGACGGACGGACAGACGAACAAGGCTATATCGACTCAGCGTGCTGATCAAGAATATATATACTTTATGGGGTCTGCGATGATTCCTTCTGCGTGTTACATAATTTTTCACAAAAACATTATACCCTGATTTCCCATTTTCAATGGGTTCAGGGTAAAAAAATAGGTCTCTACTCTGTATATGCGATTATTTCGTTACGGAGCGTTATTAATCGAAAGATGCCCTTTACAGATTGTAATTAGATACGCCTTCCATCTGGCTATTTGAAGAGTGTCAGACCAAGGTCCAACAAAACAGTTTATCGAAGACTACGGCTCCGCTATGAAGTAGATTCTACTGCTCATATTTTTGATGGTAATCGCTCAGTACACCACTGATGCAGATTTGAATAAATTTCCGGGCTGCTGCCCACGGGAATTTTCTGCCAGTGCATACCCCTTCAGACCAGGCTTCCCACCGGAATGCTGCCCTTACTGCAACTTGAAAGATTGCGAATATATATCTAAATCTGACCACACAGAGGGTATTGAGAATTGAGAGTATTCGTCCTCATTCTTAACCGCTTGTGAATTTCTTTGGAGTAAAATTTTATTCAGTTATATCAAATGCCTTTTGTTACGTAGATATTCTTGAGTACGTTACAGAACGTTCCTTAGCACTTCAATGGAATTTTAAATACCGGAAAATAAAGTTTACAGATTTGTCAGGCACATCAGGAGAACCTTGAGGAACTCGAGTGCTTTCAGGATTGTTTATTTGTCTGTTCATTTCTATTGGTGTGGCTTTTCAGTTGTGCTGAAACTATAGCTTTATTGGGTTGCAACCCACACTGGTGCGTTCATTAATAATGCACTGCAGGGACGTTAATGAAGCTGTGAGAGCAATTAATAAGGTGGCCCGTACTGGGGCAGGGGGTGCGGAGTACGGCCTTGAAGCTGGTGGCACAGCGCGGCTGATTTATTTATTTACTTCTAAGCCAGCCTCAAATTGAACTGAGCAAACAGCAGGAAACTTCAAAGTCTGGCAGCACACTGCACACTGTTGGGCATTTGTTCGGCTGTTGAGTTGGGTCGATGCAAACTTTGGCATTGTCAATGCTTGCCCGGCACCAAAAGGTTATTCGCGACGGCTCGGGAACAAGAATAACGATGGAAAGAAGTGCTCGCTCTTTGGTTGCATGGCTTAATTAGCACAAAAGGCAGCCTTTGCAAAAAGAAAACTCAAACAAATTGGTTTTAAATTTCAGCATGAAATAGGTTCACATCCAGCCGCTAAAGCCGCTGAAGCCTCTCAGGCCCTTCGACTTTTCTCAACTTTGCAAAGCAAAAGTAATTATGCGCATAAAAGTAGGCAACACTTTTTTACTCGTCGATGGCAGGGCGGGTTCCTGTGCCCAGTTTGCCCCAGACTTGAGAAGGGTGAGTCCGTGCTTCGAATATGTAAGACCCAAAAGCATCTACTGCCATGGCATTTAGCATCTGCTGGAAGAAATACTCAGTGAGCTCAGCATTTGCAGGGTATTTACTTAGCTACTACGTGGCAGCAGAAAAACCAAATCTCTTATTCTTGCTGCCACTTTTTGCATTGAAAAGTCAATTTTATAAAATGGAAATGTAAATTATTGAACCGTTCAATGATGCAACAGCGGGCAGGCGAAATGGAATCCACCGAAGCCAGTGGAACGTCTAATGTCCCGTTGACAGCTTAAAAATTCACTGGAATGTCCATTCATATTAACAGCTCTATGCCTTTATATTATTATACCCTGAATCCACTGAAAATGGGAAATCAGGGTATAATGGTTTTGTTAAAATGTATGTAACAGACAGA